ACAAAGTATTTTTTATATTTGGTATTATAAATTTAAAGTTCAGTTCATTTTAATCAATTACTTAATATGGTTTATCAAAACGGAGTTTTCAGAGTTTCAGATTTAATTTATATGAGTTTCGAAGTTGTAGATTTTATAATAAATAATATAAATTAAAATATTATGATTTTATGTGGATTTAATAATAATATAAATTAATTTATTGCTATTTTAAAATTTTAAAAAATTCATATTATATTAATAAAATTATTCTGGAGGTATAACAATTTTTGTCATAGCTTTTGCTAATCTTACAACTTCTTCTATTTTTTTTTCAATTAGATCATTAGTATTATATTTAGTTTTAAATAAATTTAATACAATATTGATTTGAGAATTAAGATTTTTCAATGTTTCTTCATAACTCAAATTTTCTTTTGTGTTTTCTTCATTTTCTGCTTTAATCTTTTTGTTTTCTTCTTCCAAATCATGAATTTTATTGGTAAGCGGTTTAATTTCATTTTTTAATTCTTCATTTTGTTTTTTTAATCCATCGTTTGTTGTTTTCAATCCATCATTTTCTTTTTTTAAATTTTCATTTGTATTTTTTAAGTCTTTGATTTCTTGTTCTATTAAGAGGTTATTTGTTTTTAAAAGTTCTATTTCTTCTTTCAGTTTTTTATTATTAGAACTTAAAGTATTGATAATTCCTTGTATGCGATCGAGTTCTCCAGAACCGCTTGGAATTTGAAGTTTTGGACAAATGTTTTCAGACATTTAATTGTTTAATAACTAATTTATTTTAGAGATATTGTTACATGCATTAACTAATAAATTTATTTTCTGATTAATATTAATATTTTTATCGTATTTAATATTTAACAAAGACAAAGAATGATCAATATCTTGTTCGAGTTTAACTATATTTGTTTGTTTGAACAATATTAAATTTATTGTTTTGTTAAAGTTCAGATATAGCATATAAAAATTACGCAATATTTCATTTAGACGCATATTCCATAGAGTAATTTTCAAATATAAGTCTAAAAAAATTTAAGTTAGAAACTTAAAAAAAAAACAAGAAACAAAATAAAAAAAACAAAGAAATATGACGGACCAATTAGAAACTTAATCATTGTGAAAATTTTTTATCAAATTAAAAAAAAAAAGTTTTATTATAAGTTTGATTTCAAAAATTTCCCACGTATTTTATTGTTTTACGTATTATAAAAAATTTTTTATTTATAACTTACTATATTTAGATTAATTAAATATAATTCTACATTTAATGAATCTAAATATAGTAATTTGTTTGTATAAAAATTAACTAATATTGTTCTTGATTGTTTTACTAAATTCTATGATAAGATCTATTTTATCTTCTAATGAATTGGTTTCTTTGTAAGTTATTTTAAAATTATCTAACGATTCATTTATGAGTATTTTATCTTTTTTGAGGTTATTATGTTTGATAAAACTTTCAAGTAATTTTTTTACTTCTTTTATTTTTAATCTAATTTCTGGTATTTTGTTTTCATAGTCTTTTTTTTTCAAATTTTTATTTTCATTGATGATTTGTTGATTTGTGAGATCTGTTTTTTTACATTCATTTTTTTCTTCTAGCAAGAGTTTATTTTCATTTCTTATTTTATTGATTAGTTCTTGAAGTTTTTCGAGTTTTTTTGATGAGAAATTCATCTATAATCTTCACTAATTTTTTTGATCGCACCTAATCTGTTTCTTAAAGTAGGATGTGCTATTGTTTTATTAAAGTTTTTTAATACACTTTCAGCTTTTTGATTTAATATTTCGATTGTTTTGTGTACTTCAATATTGATTTTCTTTTCTTTTTCGAGTTGTTCTGATTTATTTTTTAAAGTTCTTTCTAAAAAATTGTAATCGTATTCTAGATTTTTTAGGTCTTGGTTAATTTTTCGGTTTTGTTTGTGATCTTTAATTTTATTTTTACATGTAGAAATACTATTTTCTAGGATAGTTTTTTCTTTTTTTAGTTCATTTATAATTTGTTGAATTCTATTCAGTTCATTGGAACTAAATGACATTTTTTATTGATAAAGGATATTTTAATTTTTTATTTATTTATATACTTTAATAAAAAAAAATCTAATTTTAATTGATTTGTGTAATTTTGTTACATAATTCAACAATATTTTCCATTTTTTCTTCAACATCGGTTGACGGAAGTATACCAGTAGGAGTTTTAAATTTAAAATTAGTTAATATAATATCTATTTTTTTATCTAAGATATCAACTATTTTTAGCTTTTCTTCGTATTCTGTATTCTTTTTGTTGATTTCTTTTAATAATTGTTCTTTTTTTTCGTTCAATCTTTTGTTTTGATAAACAGCAATTTCGTTTTCTTTTTTTAGTTCTTGGTTTGTTTTTAATAATTTATCATATTAACTGTTTTTTAATATATCATTATTTTCGTTTTCTAGTTTTTCGTTTTCTTTCTTTAATCTGTTTATTTCGTTTTGAATTTGTTGTAATTCGGTAAAAATCATTCTTGAATTGTTTTTATATTTTCACTAGCCAAAACAATTTTATCTATTTTATTTATATCATTAGCATCCGAAAAGTTAATTCTTAAAAAGGTTAAACTATCATCGATTTTTTTATTCAAATTTTCAAGTAATTCTGTTATTCCTTTACACATTTCTTCATAAATGAATATACTATGCTCGTATATAAAATAAACCATCTGGTCATTTTCTTCTGTTATTTTTTTATTTCCTAAAGAGAGTTTTTCATTCTCTTCAATGAGTTTTTTACATTTTTCGTCGATGTTTTGTAAATTTTTATTTTCGTTTTTAAGGGTTTTATTTTTATTTTTTAGGGTTTCTAATTCATTTATAATACGGTTTATTTCTCCAGAAATAGATATTTGATTTGATTTTGTTTAATAATAATTATAATTTTTATTTTTATTTATTTTTTTTTTTTTATTTTTTTTTTTTTAGTTATTAAGGCCGATATTACGGAGCTTACTGCCTTTATTTGTGTTTTTAGTTAATGCATTACA